GGATTTTCTGGGAACTTGGAAGCTTCAGGAGATCCCACGATCCCAAAAAAAAAATCTGGGAATGGGGGATTTTCCAATTCCCACAAATCCTTGGATATTCCCAGGGATTTGCAAGTTTCAGGAGATGCCAAAATCCCCCGAAAATCCAGGAATGGGAGATTTTCCAATTCCACAAGTCCTTGGGTGAATCTTTGGATATTTCTGGGAATGTGATACCTCTGGAGATGCCACAATCCCAAAAAAATTCCCTGGGAATCGAGGATTTTCCAAGCTCCCAAATCCTCGGATTTTCTGGGGAGTAGGAAGCTTCAGGAGATGCCACAATCCCCAAAAAAATCTGGGAATGGGGGATTTTCCAGGCTCCCAAATCCTTGGGTGCTTCTGGAAAAACTTCAGGAGATGCCAAAACCCCAAAAATCCAGGGAATGGAATCCCTGGAAAACAAGGAATGGAATGTTCCTCCAATCCCACAAATCCTTGGTTGAATCCTTGGATCTTTCTGGGAATGTGAAACCACACGAGGTGCCACAATCCCGAAAAAAAAACCCCAAAAAATGGGAATGGGGGGCTTTTCAATCCGTTGGATCCGAGCCTCGGTCGTTCCCGGGGATTTTTCCAGGTGATTTTCCTGGATGACCTCGGGGAGAACCTGAAGCCGGCGCGGGAGTTGGGAATGGCCACGATCCTTTTCCGGGATACGGAATCCGGCCTCAGGGAACTGCAGGAGCTCTCCGGGGTGCAGGTATGGGGAAAATTCCCGGAATTCCGGGAGATTCCGACAGAATTTTGTCACTTCCCCCCCCCCGTGGGAACGAAGAGCTGGAATCGCATCCCGGATCGGAAGCGACGCGGAATTCCGTGATTTTTTTCCGGGGAGAGATGGGATCTGGATTCTGGCTGATCCCATGGGATCTGGGTGGGAATATTCCATGGAATTCCATGGAATTCCGTGCTCCTGATCCCACAGCTCCTGAGGGAGGAGGAGGAGGAGGCGGCGCTGCCGACGCCGTGCACTCCGGCCGAGGTCACGCACGGATACGTCTCCATCCGGGTACGGAATTCCTCGGGAATGAGGGGGCGGGAAGGGCTGGGAGCTGGGAATGGGGGGGATTCCAGGATTGGAGCTAGGAATGGGGAGGATTCTGGGATTGGAGCTGGGAATGGATGGAATTTTGGGATTAGATCAGGGAATGGGGGGGATTCTGGGATTGGATCTGGGAATGGGTGGAATTCCAGGATTGCATCTGGGAATGGGCAGGATTCTGGGATTGGAGCTGGGAATGGCTGGGATTGGATCTGAGGATGGGTGGAATTCCAGGCTGAGATTTGGGAATGGATGGGATTCCAGGACTGGATCTGGGAATGGGGGGGATTCTGTGATTGGAGCTGGGAATGGGTGGAATTCTAGGCCAAGATTTGGGAATGGGTGAGATTCCGGGATTGGATCTGGGAGTGGGTGGAATTCTAGGCTGGAATGTGCCAGAATCTGGGAATGGGTGGAATTCTGGAATTTGGTCTGGGAATGGGTGGAATTCTGGGATTGGAGCTGAGAATGGATGGAATTCTGGAATTGGGTCTGGGAATGGCTGGGATTGGATCTGGGAATGGGAGGAATTCTGGAATTGGAGCTGGGAATGGTTGGAATTCCAGGATTGGGTCTGGGAGTGGGTGGAATTCCGAGATTGGATCTGGGAATGGGTGGAATTCCAGGATTGGAACTGGGAATGGAGATGATTCTGGCATTGGATCTGGGAATTGATGGGATTCCAGGATTGGATCTGGGAGTGGGTGGAATTCCAGGCTGGAATGTGCTGCAATCTGGCAAGGGGTGGAATTCCAGGATTTGAACTAGGAATGGGTGGAATTCTAGGCTGGAATGTACCAGAATCTGGGAATGGGTGGAATTCCAGGACTGGATCTGTGAATGACTGGGATTCTGGGATTGGAATGTGCGCGGATCTGGGAATGGGTGGGATTCTGGGACAGGATCTGGGAGTGAGTGGAATTCCAGGCTGGAATGTGCCACGATCTGGGAATGGGTGGAATTCTGGAACTGAGTTTAGGAATTCCAAGTGCTGATCTCCAGAAATCCAAATGTTGAGTTCTGGAATTCCAAGTTTTGAGCTCCAGAATTCCAGACCTGAGAGGCCGATGGGCTCTGGAATTCCGGGTACCGATCTCTGGAATTCCAAGTGCTGAGCTCTGAAATTTCAAATATGAGCACCAGAATTCCAAGTTTTGAGCTCTGGAATTCCA